TACTATACTAATAGCTAAACTAATTCTAAGAAATAAGATTAACTCCTAAATTAGGTATAAACAAAACTTTATTAAGCAAGATTTTCTTCTTATTCTAGCCTCCTATAACTGCTTTTCCCTTATATATAGCTTATAGCTATTTACCCCTAACCTTAATCTATTTCTTTCTTTAAAGTAGAATTATAGATCTAAAGAGTTATAGTTAGTTAGTTATATAAGATAAGGTATAGGAGTCTAGTAACTATTCTAAGGAGGTTAACTTACCTTTTACCTCTAAAGAAGAATATATAATCTTATTAGTTTCCTCCTTAAATTAGGATAAGGTAGCACTTAATAAGGTTAGGGATAATTCCCTAGATTAGGCTTATTTAGTAAGGAATGCTTTCTTAGTAGTCTTCCTTATTTTCCTAAATTTAGAAACCTCTTTTCTAATTATTTCCTCTATTACCTTCTTAAATTCTTTAAGAGAGTCTCTTCTTTTTTTAACCCTCTTTAATAAGGAGGAGGAGTATTTCTTACTAGAGATCTTTCTCTTTTCGGGCTTTAGAGAATCCCTATTTCTAGATAGGAAATTTTCCTAAGGTCTAATTACTTTCTTTACCTTTCCTAGCTATAGATAATCTTATATAAAGTATTATCTATTATAGAGGAAGTATGTTCTTATCCTTCTAAAGGCTACTATTGCAAAGTCCTCCCTATAATAGAGGTCCCTTACTTCCTAAGATTTAAGGATAAGTAGGATCTATTTATAGTTCCTAGTAAGTATTAGCTAGGCTATAATTGCATTCTTAGTTAATTTAAACTTAGGAGGGAGTGCTAAAAGAAGGATCCTAATTTTCCTTTTAGGTTCTTTTATATATAACTCCCTTTTATTAACTTCTGCAATTCTCTTTACTATTAAACTAATTTATATCTAGGCTAATCTTACTATATCTTCCTCTCCTATTCTAAAGTTTATAAGTTATTATACTATTAATATAGTATATGCTATAAGTACCTTACTATACTTCTTCTAGAGGAAGAGCTACATTTTAATAGCTATCTTTATATCTATTAATAATTAAATCTTATCTGCTTTATCTAAGCTAACTCTTAATCTTAGCTTATACCTATACTTAGTATTCTTCTTTTAAAAGTTTAGCTAGCTAGCTATTCTTATAACCCTAGTATCTAGATTAAGAAGTAATAAATTATCTAGGTTAATTAATCCCTTAATATTATAGAAGATGCCTTTTCCTTCTAGGTTATCCCTCTATAGTTTAAACTATCTTTTCTAGTTCTCTCTTATTAGGATTAGAATCCTAATATAAGTCTAACTGTCCTTCTCTTCCTCTATTTTAGTATATAAATAGCTTAGTCCTACTAAGGCTTTAGTAGTAAAGTAAAGGGTATATATATGTTTTAAGGCTTTAGATTTAGAGTCCTCTACTCCTTATAGCTATTAGATAATCCCTTAGTTCTAATAGTTAAATGTTCTAAACCTTTAGGAACTAATCTGTCTTCTATRTTTTCTTCTTATCTAACCTGCTATTAAAACTCCTAGTAGTATAAGATAGGGTACTAGAAACTAGTGTCCTTTCTATATTAGCTTTATAAGGTAGGAGAAACCTTTACTACTTTAAGGTTAAGGTCTTTTTTCCTTCGGCAAACCCGGGCTTATAACCTATTAAATATTAGTCGGAGGTTCGCAGATTTTTAGGGGTGGAGTATAAGAGTATCTTAATCTTTAACTAGCTTACTATCTCCGATAGGCAGTACTTA